CGATCGCCTTTATCAGGGATTTGCTCGAAAACAAGAGGAAAGAGTTAATGAAACATGCTTTGATGGATGGATTAAGTGATCTGCCCTTGGCATCAAGGCAACTTCACTTATCATGCTTGAAAGTGTTTCAAATGTTCTACAACTCGGATATGCTAAAGATGTAATAAATTAGTATTGTGGCATGCTAAATATATGGATAGAATCGTAACTAAAATTTTAATTAAAATAATGTTTATTATTTTCAATGAATTGAAAACAAAATGGATATGAATAAATTAAATATTATTTTTAGTGTCATATTATAAATATTGAATTTATATCATATAAATTACTTGATACATTATTAAAATTTAATGATTATTTCGATTATTTTTATTTAAGTTTGGATGTATTTTTCTTATTAATGTGATACTGTAATCTTCTAAATGTATTTTTTTTTAAATGTGTTTAAACTTTTTAAACAAAAGTCATTTGCTTGAATCACATTGTTTAATAAAAAAAATAATTACATTGTTTGATAATTTAATTTTTTGGATTTTAAAAATTGTAAATTTTTAATTTTACAAAGACAATCAAGATCAATAAATAATTAGTTATAAAAAATTTAAGAAATTATAATTTTTTATTTTAAAAATAATTTGTTTTCGTATATTTAAAAAAATAATTTTTTAATTTCATTTTGAAATTATAACTTAAAAATATCAACAACAAAAAAATTAGTTACGATTGAGGGGCCAAAATTCCTATTAATTTAGCATGAAACGTCACTCCCTTAACAATATTTCACGATCGCTATCTATTTTTTAATAAAATCTGAAATTCAATGTTTATTTTATAACTTTTAAAATTTCAAAGACAAATAAAATTATTTTAATAAATTTAATAATCATTTATAAATTTTATCATATTTTTATATTAGTAACACTTCAATCCACATCATTAATAATGTACATTGTATGTCATTCACTCCGGACTCATCTTTAGAAAATACAATTTCGAAGTAGTTAAACATTAGACAATACAATTTCCCGGGGCTGTAGTTTTGTGGTGTGTAGGTAGATTGCCGCTGGTTTCGTTTAATATTTTTATGTTTCTAGCTGCTAATTAATTTACAAGTTAAAAATAGTAAAATTATAGTATTAGTGTTTAAATTTGTTAATTCTTATAATTTAAACTCTAATTTTCACCATGTGTTCAATTTAGTCCCTATATTCACCAATATTTAAAATGTAATAAAAAAATAAAGTAAATTAGACATTAAACGAGCTTTTCATGAACATAATAAATAAATAAGTTGATAAATTATTTGTGAACATAAATGAAGCGAACATACATTTATTAGTGTTCATTCGTTTATTAAATAAACTTAAAATTTAGTTAGTTTTCGTTTATTTAACTTAATAAACTAACATAAACGAACAGTACACCCAACTCTCTATTCATTTACCCCTAGGTACGAATACTTGAAAAGGTTTGGATAAAATAAAACTAATATTACAGTTTTGGATTGTGATTAGTCAACTAGCTAAAATTGAAGAACAAATGGTACGATTTAATTCGATAATTGACTGGATTCCAATCTTTTAAGAAATTTAAGTTTGTTTAATTCAAAGCTTAAAAGTTAATTTGAGAATTAGCTAATAGTTATGTCGATACGTAAATCTTTTGCCTTTCTTAGTATGTTATGCATTTTGATATTGTTTAATGAAATGTTGAGGATGCAATTGAGAAAAGTAACGATTGAAATCCTGCCATAGGAAGTGCAAAAAGAACAGGGAGAACGAAAATGCAAATTATTGCCACTGAAAATGTTCTCCAAACTACTCCACCAAAAACCATAGCTAGTTGTACCTCAAAACTCCTGGATTTGTTTACGATTTGACCCGAAGAACATAAACCCATACTATATCATTCTGGTACTCCTGAAATCCAGCAAGTTGGATTGAACTCGAACCAACACCCGAATGGCAACAGCCATCGTCAAAATTGAGAGCATAACTTGAAGGGTCATACTGGAACTTCAACTGCCTTTTGCTTCTACTCTTCACAGCTTTTTTCATTGCTGCTTTCGCTCTCCAAAACAGACTTCTGCATTGCTTCTTTCCATAATTATTCACCCATTCTAACCTTCCCATGAAATCCAAATAGCCTCCCATTTTTTTTTCTCTCTTTTTAAAAGCAAAACTCAATGACTCTTTAGACAAATGAAAGGAGGGTTTTATATAAGGGATGTGGTTTGAATCTAGAATACGAGAGTCGGGATAAAAGATAAATGGAGGTGGGAGGTCTGTTTTTCGTTTTTCAAGTAAGCTGCGCAGCTAAACTTTCAGTTTCAATAGAGAGACTGCTTTTTTCATTTTGGGAATTACATTGGGATGATAAAATTCATCCAAAAGTGAGAAAACAAATTGAAAAGGAAGCCACAAAAGAAGGGGTTATAATGGGGCAATGTAGAAATTAGAAAATTAAAATATTGGTAAGTCAAAATCAACGCATCCTTCTAAGTTTATGAGACATTAGAAATCCTGGGGCAATGTGGCTGTTTTGCATTATCTTTTCCACATTTCCTTATCTCTTGTTGTCTTCACCTTGAAAGTCATTTTGCTTTTATTAATTCTCAATAAAATTCCCTTTTGTCTCATTTAACTTCACCCCTCAACTCAATGCTTTATCCGGTTTGTTTCCACTCTTTGCCCGTTGTGGAAATTGCTGGTCCCGTGTCAGATGATAAGTCATTCTTAAGCCAGTAAGGCAATCTTTGTCCCGAGTTTTGGCACCAATCCCTTCTAGAAACAAACAATTCCATTTCTGGTTTGAGTTTTCAAGCGCCAGGTCTCGGTCACATGGATTGATGTTCAAGTTTGGTCCACGTTAGTTGCCAACTGGGAATTTGTGCTTTCGTTAGACCCCCTTTCTTTCTGGATCAATGGATAGCTTTTGGCTTGCCAACACTATAAACTAACTGGATTTAACAATATGCAAAAGCCAAGCACTATTCAATTCAATCATTCCCATCGGCAATCTCTCTCAAAATTTGCTGGATTTCCTTGTAATCTGTGCACTCATTTCCTTTCTTGATGATCTCTTCATGTGCCGTTTGCAGGTTTTCTCTGCAACAAGCTCGACTTAGCATTTAGGTCTGCTGCTATGCTACATCCTATGCATCATTATATTTCATACATGAAAGAGTTGATTCAAAAAGACAGAAAAACGCTACACCCTTTTTCAAAGCGCTTATACACACAAATAATTAAATTCGATAAATTTTATGAACAACAGTCCATGGAATGATTTTGACAAAACTGGAAATGGCAGCTTGATTTGTCACGAGGCACATGCCATGGTTTCTGCCTGTTATCTTAAACAACAAGAAGATAAAAACAAAGGGAAATGTTGCATTTCTCAAACCCACATTATATATATATATATATATATATATATATATAAAAGAGGGGATCCCAGGAGGGTGTCATGAATAGATAAAAAGAAACTACTTTAATGACTTTATTGGCATGGAGTAAAGGTCATTCCTTGATAAGCTAACTTACTTCCTAGAACAGAGTTTATGCTGCCTTAATGAGAAGCACAAGTGTGACATTCTATACGTGTATCATGGCAGCGGTATCTTATATGGATTTGCTCCTTACACTTTTTTCTCTCTTTTTTCAGTTCCTTTTTACCAGTTAGTACGGATTCCAAAGCATATGCTTCTAGGGGTGTGTAAATGTAATAACTCCGTTTGATTTATTTATTTTTTGTCAAACTTTGATTTATTTAATATTGATAAACAAAATTAATAGTCTCTTTTTATATATTTAGTGTCCATTTGATTTTATTTTTTATATATGTTTTTTAAAATTTTTAACAAATGATATTATGAGTTATGATTCTAATTATTTAATTTTAAAGTTCTGTTATTATGAAAATTGTTAGAGATATTAGAGACATGTAATACGTATTTTGCTATAACAAGTTTTTAAGTTGTATTTGAAATAATTTTCAATCAACTTATCCACGTCCAAACCAGTATTACATAAGAATTAAAGTTTATTAAGATTTGAAGTTATTTTTTTATAGAGTAAATTTTTTTACGATCAAATTTATTTTTCCATAAATATAGAAAAAAATTTAACCTGAAAAATATGAAAAAGGATTATCTTAAAAATACAATTTTTTTACAATCACTAACTGAAGGGTCTATATTATAGGATAATTCTGTAAGGTATCAAATTAGTGTTTTTTAAAATTTTTGATATATATATATATATATATATTATATATATATATATATATATTATATATATATATATATATATATATATATATATCTATATATATATATATATATAGAGTATAAGATACAAATTTTTGTACACAATTATGTTTTTTTATAATCTTTACATTATCAGTAAATTATTATTTTTGAATAGATATTTATTTATTTATTTTTATTTTGTAAAGATGAATAATATCAAATCAATTTTATTTCTTAAATGAATTTTATTTATGTTGATTTGTTTTTTGATTTATTGTTTTGCTCATAAATTCCCATTAGGGTCTATATTCATTGATGTTTTCGATGTCTCGTAAAGGAATTAACAAGGTTGTGTCGCTTCATGAAACTTAGCCGGCTAGACAAGCTTCGATGCAGTCGCACAATGGCCCCAAACATGATTTATGATCACCGTAAACAAAGCTATCACACTATTAACTTATATCCATATATATACCATGTCCTTGAAAACTGTGGGGATCTTCTAGCAAATAACAAAACAATGCAACAGACAACCAAAGCCAAATCATTAAATCCTTCAAACACTATGGATAAAATTCCTAGATATCATCTCCCCATGCTTGGATCCTACGAACTATTCTTAGTCGATGCCCGCATACTCACCATTGTTCTTGTATTATCCGCCATAATTTTCTTTCCCTATATCTTGATCTAATCTTTACATTAAATCTTACCAGTTGACATTGAATCACGCTATAGGAACCCCGGTTAGGCTTATCACCTTTCTCTACTAATCTGATGGGTTCGTTCCCTTCCCCTCCATGGCCGACACCACCACCACCATCACCTGAAATCGATTCTTCTCGTTATCGAGTTCTCGTGGCTTTTTGTCCTAAAGAAGGAAGGTCTAATACTAAAATTTTCAACTGCATACAGTGTTATAATCCATCTGACAATACATGGAGTCATGTTACCTTGATTCCAAACCTACTTGAAAATCATGTCTTGAAGGGCTTTGCGATGGTTTCTCTTGGAGAGTCTATTTACATTATCGGTGGGAGGTTGTGGCACAAAAGAAAGCCTCAAAATTCAAGTGATTTTGATGAATTTGTCGATGCTGGTGTCCAAGTGTCGCCTTTAGTACTCTGTTACAATGTTCGATTGGACCAATGGTTCAGTTGTGCAACATTGGGCGTTCCACGGTACGATTTTGCTTGTTGTGTTTGTGAAAATAAAATTTATGTGGCTGGAGGAAAGTCCAATTTGGACAGTTCTAGAGGGATTTCATCGGCTGAGGTGTATGATCCTGCCTTTGACGAATGGACTCCATTGCCTAGCATGAGTAGTTTGAGATACAAATGTGTTGGGGTGACATGGCAAGGGAAAATCTATGTGATGGGCGGTTTCGCCGAAAGAGGTGATTCGGATATAAACATGCTGACATTTTCCCCACAGCGTAGCTCAGCCGAGATGTTCGACACAAGAGCAGGGAGATGGGACCTGGCGGTGGGGATGTGGCAGCTGGATGTTCCACCTAACCAAATCGTTGCAGTGGATGGCAAGTTGTTTAGCTCCGGGGACTGTCTCAAGCCATGGAAAGGTCACATTGATGTGTATGATGGGAAGCAGAACATGTGGGACGAAGTGGATGGATCTCGTTTCCAAACTCTTAATTCACCAGTCTCCACATTAGGTGACAATAACAATGAAAATTGGGCACAAGTGGAAAGACTTTACTTAACAATGGCACCAATAGGAAACCATTTATACTTCCTTGCAGGGTATCGGATGGCGGGTGAATCACCACGAACAGTTTCAATGGTCTACACATTCGATACATTGGCATCTGTTGATCCATGGAAGAGCTTAGAACCGACAGAGGAAGATGGGGAGAAAGAGCTATGCAGTCATTGTTGTGTGGTTCAACTCTCGTAAGCAGTCTTTGCCTTAGCCATGAAAAGCCTATTACCGGGCCATCCTCCTTTAGATTACATGGGTTCACTCTGCGGTTTAAGGTGTTTGTTTAACTGATTAAAATGTACCTCTTTAGTTGCTTTTGTTGGATGGTGAATTAGCGTCTCAGTAGCTTATGTTGTAACAAATAAGCAAAAAGTGGTGTGGAAATACTATTTACCTTTCGTAAAAGTGCATTTTTTATGTGCAAGCTTTGAAGCAAGAAATGATGCTGCTTTCTAATTGGGCCCAGATTACAAGAATTTCCAATGTGTCAAGCTTCTTTACCTTGCAGATCAATTGGTGTAAAAATAGCCCAAATGGGTTTAAGATCTTTATAAAGAATATGCAAAAGATCTTCTTTATAAAGAATATGCAAATCATGGGGTTGGGTCAATGGAAAATAGCCCTCAACAAAAAACAAAGGCCAATAAAAGCGTAAAGTATCATTTCGGTGAAGCTCTTGCACGAACCACCATGCCCCTTTACCAGCAGACACGCAAGCCCCCATGCATGCAACCGGATGACTGGTTACTTGGTCAATTTCTTCACCGGAACACGCTATCTTACGTGAGATTCACAGTACACGCGTGAGCCTATTTGACACCAAAATCAACGGTTAAGATTCACAGTATAATACTTTTTGTAGGAGTAATATTTTCTCAAGAGGCAGACCTGTTATCCGACGTGACAGATGAGGTGGATGTGCCACGTGAAAGGAGGTCGGGTAAAATGTAGGAACCCTAGGTTAGCTTTTCCAAAGGTCTCAGGAAATATTCCAAGTTTTCAACCCTGTAAGCTTTTCATAGTGATGCAATGCTTATATGTAGTAATCTCCTCGCAATGAAGTTGTGTTTTACTGGTTCAATCTTATTCTAGCCAACTATGGCATATTAGAATGTACATTGGGTACTGCTGGTGTAGTCATAGGCCGATATCAACTCACACGATACACCTGATTTTGTCTCAAGGACCCAAGTCCGCACCTTGGCATCTTGAGACACAGTGTCCCACGTAGGGCTTTGAGGGCACCTGTTGAGGGTTGGAATAGTTAGTTGATCTACGGGCCAAATCTTTTAGGAGAATTCCTCTGTGGCTTTATATCAACTTATCCTTGGTAATGGCAATTCTCATAAAAGCATTGGATGCTATAGTGTAGAAACAGATCTTCGGTTCAATGAGATCGGGACTAAAGTTAATGTTCAGCCATGCTGGTCACCTCTGTTTGATGCTTGTTTTGCTTTTGATGGAGTAGAATATATTGTTCATCTGATGTAAGATTTTTCAATAGGACATTTTATTTGGTTCTTCAAATGGATATGGCTGGAAATAATTTCTACACGTTCTCCATTTCTTGGACTCATGGAACACAATGCTCTGCTAATTCCTAAGAAAAATAATCTTACCATCTGTTGGAAGATGATATAAAGGCGATTTACTTGTGCAGATGACCAGCAGAGTTTCAGTTTTAATGCCAGGGGATGAGATTCAATCTTTTGTAATGGAACAAAGTCTAGCCAATTTGGTTGGGAAAAAATTCGAACTTTTGAAGTTTGGGTGCATTCTCTGTCTATTCTCATGGAAGAGACACGATTACAGAAAGGTAAAAAGAAGCAGACAACGTAACTGATCTGATCTTCTTCACCACCAGCATTCCTTGGTGGAGAGAGTCCACCAACATATTCCATCAACGGATCAGTAATAAACATAGGACCACTTCCTTCCACTGTCTTTTACTCATTCACCCACAACGGCTACACTCGAATCCTCCAAATTTTCAATTTGCACCATCATACTTCATTTACTATATTTCCCGTTGTGTTTTTATTGTGGAATTTATAAACCGTTGAATTATTAAAGCGGATTCTATGTTCCCCTTTTGGTTGTACATTACTTCCCTCCCTTTAATGTCTCTCATTTAGGTGTTAAAAAAGGGAATGTAGGGCCAAGCATGAAGAACCATGCATATTCCTCGTGCTCTTGTGAGGAGAAAAGTTGGATCTACAAAGGATTTAAAATACTGGCAATGGTATGCCTCAAAATTGTTAATAGGCGCCTCAAGATCCCAGTTTCAACGACATAATTATGTCTTATTTATATTCTAATCATGATTAATGATTTAAGATAAACTTTTATACTTAAAAGTTGTCTCCCCAACAACTCCTTTAATCAAACCAACAACCAAACATAAAAAATAACGGTATTCTTTAAGTGATCACTTTTATTTAAATGTTAGGATTCAATCATGATTCAAGCCTGGAAATTTTGAATAAAGAAAGAGGGAAAAGGAGCCAATGATTTTGTACCAGATTGATTAATTGTTAGTCTTTTTGCAGAAATGCAGATCTTTTTCCATAACAGCAAACAAGAGTAGACAATACAACAGCATAATTTAACTTAATTAGACGATAATCACAGGTCAATTAAGACATTCCGTATCCAACAACCATGCACCCAAAGTTTCCAAATCCAACAGTGGCAAGCAAGAGAAGTATTGGACAACAGCTTACCACTGCAACCCTGAGTTCTGAAATCCCACGAACTCATACAAAAAAATATTCCCTTCTAGTTCAGACTGACCTTTGACTTCAATGTTCAATCAATATTCACAAACTTAAACAACAACAACAACAAAAAGGATTAAGTGATTGAACATTTTTAGGTACATTTCTTCATCTCTAAAGGAAGATGAAACATTCAAGGGAAACAAGAGGGTTTTCAAGTGATTCATTGGGAGCACTTGATGTGGCTCCGTTATTATTGCAACTTGGCCATTTTCCTTCCATGGTGGTTGTAGTAGTTGTAGTACCATGCTGCTTCTCCACTTTTTTGGTATTACCAGACTCTCTCGGGTCAAGTCTGGCCCTACCAGGGGATTGATTAGTCCTTCTTCCAGACGGGCTATGACCCATTACAGACCTATTCACAGCTGGTGACCTTGACCTCCTCCCTGAATTCTCACCAGGATCCTTCCTTGGCGAGTTGGCCCTTGACCCACGTCTCACTGTGGGTTCCCTGCTTTGGACCAACCTCACTGACGATCCACCATTGACAACCCCATTTCTTCTGCCGGGTGATTGTTCAAGTTTTCGGGTCGGGGACCTGCCCACGACCTGGTTCCTTGACCCGGACCTTGCTGGAGATCTGAACACTCTTTGTGGCTTCGTAACTTCTTCTTCTTCATCTCTCCTGTCAGTTATAGTTGAAACGCTTTCACTTAAACTAACACTGCAGATCTCGGAAACATCTTCTGAAGCTAACTCTTCTATGAAATTGGCAGGTGATTTCAGCTCAGGCTTGATGTTAAAATTCAGACTTTCCTTCCCTTGGATCTGAACAAAAGCCGGGTTTTCTATCTGGGTTTTCTTCTTCTTTTCTTCTTGTGGGATAAATATGGGATCTTTGGGCTTTGGAGTCTCAGACAAAACTTCTTTCACAGTTTCTTCTTCGGCCGAAGGCGGTGGAGTTCTGCTTTCGAGAATTGGTTTCTGGTTAAAAGATTCAAGACCCACCTCTAAATGTGCTTCTTTTTCACCAGAAGAACCTCTGTTAGTGCTTACACAGCAACCCATTTGAAGAAGCGTACGCTACGTTTGACTCAGAAACAAGGTGGCATTGTTGGGTTAAGCTCAAAAACGAAGATCCCCCCCCCCTCTCTTGAAGATTACGTATTTAGCGGCTTAAGAGACGAAGAAAACAAGAGGAGACAGGGAGTAGGGTGGTAATGTGAAGATATCACAATAGATATCGGATAGTCAATGAAATGCATTTATTCTCTAACATCACCCGTCATTTCTACTTCGCTAAGCTAACTTTTTGCTATTTCTGTTCGTGACCTTCACATTTTTGTTCCTTCTCGTTCAAGTCCCTTTTCTTCTTTTTTGTTGCTTTTAATATAATAGTAGCACTCCAGTCTCGCGATTTGCGCAAATATTTATATTTAGCAATCGGCGCAGGCGGAGGGGGAATTTTTGTATGTTTACAACCGTCGATGCATGAGATTTTAGCGGCCTTTCCATGTATGCCGTCAAATCTAGGGGTGTATAAAATTATCAGATCCGATTGACCCGACTTGCCGACCCGAACTTAAAAAATCAGGTAATTTTCTTGGTCAGGTATTTGGGCCGACATTTTCCGGGTCGGGCTCAGGTCACAAAATCTAATTTTTTCGGGTACCCGATTACTCGAGTACCCGGTTAGTTTTTGTTTTTTGTTATATATATATATATATATATATATATATATATAATATAATGAATTATTTATATTATGAATTATTAGATTTTGTATTTCGAACTTTTAAATTTTATGTTCGGATATTAGAGTATGTAATTCGAAGTTTCGAACATTTAAATTTATGTATATTTTTTTAAAGAGAAAATAACTTCAGTGACCGAAATGCCTTATAATATACGATTTTAACCAACTTTTTTTGGATTTGTAAAAATAATCAACGAATTCGCAACTTGGTTTCGAATTCGCAACTTGGTTTCGAATTCGCAACACGAACTCTAATTTCGCAACACAGTTTCAGAATTCGCAACTCGAATTTGGAATTCGCAACACAGAAGTCGAATTCGCAAGTCGAATTCGACAATTTCGCAACACGAATTTCCTTTTCGCAACTCGATTTTTAAATTCGCAACACGAGTTTCCATTTCGCAACAAGATTTTCTAATTCGTAATGCGATTTTCAATTTCGCAATATGAATTTCGTTTTCGCAACTTGATTTTTGTATTCGCAACGCGAATTTTAATTTCGCAACACAGATTTTAATTTCAATACACAAATGTTTTTGGTATATAAACTACGCAGCAGCAGCAACTCATAACCTAAACACCTAAATCGCAACTCAGTCAATCTCCATCTCTCACACTCTTCGGCGACATCCGTCCCCATATCCGACGACACCCTTCCCCATCTCTATTTTTTCATAATTTTATTTCTATATAATTTTTCAATGATTTCTCTCCCAAATTATCAAGTATCAACTTAATAAATGTATGTTTTTCTCTAAGTTAGTGATGATATCTAGTTTATAGCTCGTTTGTTTAGTAAATTAATTTATTTACAATTCAAATAGAATGAAATCATCTAATGTTGATCATGTTTGGATAGATTTATGTTTTGGAGGGACATGGGAGAATGTTAATGGTGTTTTACAATATATGTCTTTACCCATGAATCTTCAACTAAAACTAACATTAAAAAAGTTAACTTATAAAAATATAATGTTACGTGTTTCAAAGAAATTGAGTTTAGAGTCTCTAAGTGGATTTAGGCTATCTTATCAGAGAAATTGTAAAGTTTATTTGTAACCGACAATGAAGATGTTAAACGATTCATTGCTTACATTAGTGTTTCGCAAGATAATGTTACATTATATGTTGTTGAACCTAGAAGTAGTGAAGTTGGGTTAGTAACGGGTAGTAATCAACTAAGTTTTTCAGCCCCAGTTTATGGTGATCACAATGTACAATGTTGTTATCAACCTCAAAATTTCATGGTTCCACCACAATTTCATTACCAAGAAAATTTTGTTTCACCACATTTCCAATACCAAACACAATATCAAACACAATCTCAAAATCCACAACTTTTCCTTAATCCAAATCCCAATCAATTTACAGACCCAAATTCCGGTTTTCGTATTGACCAGTTAGACGATGATGAGCCAATAAAAAATGTGAGTACTAGTCAGTATTCGAAATTTGATCTTGGTCAATACCCGGGCTTTGATCTTGGTCAATACTCGGATTTTGATGATATTTCAGAAGAAGAAACAGACCCTGTTTGTAATGATTTTGATATTGGTCAATACCCGGATTTTGATGATGAAACAGTTACTGCCGATGAAGATGTTGTTGATGATAATGAGGAGGAAGTTATGGCTGTGAATAAACATTTTGAATATTCATTCTGTAATTCATATAACCCTGAAGAAGATAAAGAAGAAGATGATAAAGTCCCTGAAGAAAAAGAATAAGAATAAGAAAGAGCCACGGGAGTATAACTGGAATATGTCAGAATTACTTCCGATACTGGAAGAAGAATTGGTAAAGATAACAGTTGATTGTTACACAAAAGTTATTCATATCAAGAAAGATGATTGTTTTGATACAAAGGAAGACTTGAAGATAGCTTTGTATACGAAATGTGTGGAAGATGGCTATCAACTAAAAGTTAATAAATCAAGCAAAGATCGTTTCGAAACAAAGTGTAGGATTGACAAAAATTGTACGTGGCGTATGATTGTAAAGAGGATAAAAGATTGTGAAATTTTTCAAGTTAGGACTTTTATTAATAAACATACATGTTCAAGAACCCAAGTTTTTCCTCACCATAAACAGGCAAACAAAAAGGTGTTGGGTGGTTTTCTGGCTGAGTTGATGTTTTTGAATGGTAGGGTATATCGAGGTCATGAAATTATGACTGACATGAATGCTCGGTTCAAGATTAGTATATCATATTCTCAAGCTTGGAGAGCCAAATGTTATGCCCTGTAATTGTTGAGGGGTCGCCAAAAGCATCGTTTGCCCAACTGTCGGCTTATTGTCACAATTTAAAGCTGAAAAATCCTGGGTCGGTAACTCATATCAAAACAGATAGAGATTGACGTTTTGAGTTGTTGTTTATCATCATTGGTGTTGCGGTTAGTAAATCAATATAATTTTGTTGACTCATTTTTGTTAGTTACATGCATTTCACATTTAATTGAATATATTTTTTGTGTATATTATTTTGTAGATTCGTTCGTTTATTACTTGCATGTGCCCAGTTATTATAGTTGACGGAGCACATTTGAAAGGTTGATACCCTGGAACAAACTTATTAGCAGTAGTCATGAATGCTAACAATGAGATACTGCCAATAGTTTACGGGGTTGGTAAATCTGAAACCTCTGATTCATGGACATGGTTTATGGGGCATCTTAGGGATTGCATAGGTCCTATTAGCAATCTGACAATCATATCCGATAGGGAAAACTCAATTGATAACGCTATTAGAAGGTGTTTCCCATATGCTTTTCATGGATTTTGTGGTGTTTATTTGTACAGAAATCTAAAATCAAGGTCTGTTGGTATAAAAAATCACAAATGGACATACTAGAAGACTGTAAAAGCTTATCGGGAATTGATTTTTAATAAACATATAAATTGTTTAAGACGTGTTTTGCCTCAATGTGCTCAAACACTAGAAGATGTCGGGTTTGAAAGATGGTCAAGAGTACATCAATTTGGAGCAAGATATGGTTTTCATGGCGTCTAATAGTGCATAATCAATCAACGCTCTAAGTCGTTATTCCCGAAAATTACCCATTACTATGTTAATTGAGTTTTTTGAGCCTTTATTCAACAGTGGTACTATAAGAAAAGAAACCATGCAGATATTATTTCTTTAAATTCGTAACTTATTATATTTAATAGATTTTACTAAGTATTATTTATTTAAAATTACAGGAACATTAGAACGTCGTGTTACACCATGGACTGAAAAAAAGATAACGAAACGTGTTGTGAAGTCAACCTCATGGAGAGTTGAACCATGTTCAAACACTTTGTTTAAAGTCTTGGATAATAACTTAAATGGGCTTATCGATCTAAATGCAAAGACGTGTAGTTGTATGAAATAGCAAACATCTGGTTATCCGTGTGGCCATGTTATAAAAGCTGTTCTTCATCTAAACCAAGATGATTCAAGCGCATACGCTATGGATTGCTACACTACAGAAGTATATCGACAGACTTATGCCGATATTGTCTACCCTATTCTACATCCTTCTGAGTGGGACATACCAGATGACTTACAAACAGTTTTGCCACTAGTCATGGACAGAAGGCTACCTGGCCGGCCAAAAAATCACGATCGTATACCGTCTAAGGGTGAAGAGAAGAAGATATTGACTTGTAGTCGGTACAAGGAAAGTGGTCATACAAGGTTGACTTGTAGATCACCAGTGCCATCACAATCATCTTTTCCTCCACCAAAATACAGATCTTCATCAAAATCCAAAGCTCATATGATGTCAAGTAAAGGGAAATCAAAATCGCAATCAAAATCTCAATCACAATCGCCTTCACCTTTTGGGACTATTAACTTAGGTGATTTTTAGATGCAAACGTTGTATTATGTATAAAGTAAGCTTATATTACTATATTAATAGCACTAATATGATCCTAGTTTTTATCTTTATTTTATAGCTATAATCATCTGAACATTACAGTTGCTTTATGTATATTTTATGTGTGAATGCATACATTTTTTCAGTTAGGCATGCATTATTAAGATATACTCCTGACATCACTTGAGTTTGCCCATTGCTATGATCTGTTCAGTTGTTATCACTTATCAGGATTGTTGTCTGTTATCTTTTTGAAGGTGTTTGCCTTGAATGAGAAACTAGAAAAAAAGATGGTTATTGTGAACTTCTCCAGACGCTTGGACTTTAGTTTTTTAATAACTAAACAAGTATGATTAGTAGGAAAATTCGTAACACGAAAATTGAATTCGCAATTAACAACAAGAAAATCGCAACTTGATATTAAAATTTGTAACTCAAAAATCGAATTCGCAACTCGATTTCGTATTGCGAATTTTATTTTCGAGTTGTAAATTCGATTTTCGAGTTGCGAATTTGATTTTCTTAAAGATAGTTTGCATTCAACAGGTCTTTTGATAGTTTGCCTTCAACATAATCCAAATTCAATTAAACAAACCAATCAAACAAAAAAATTCAAA